ATAGTCCTCGTGGGAACGATAATCCGGACTCAAAAGGTCCACTTTATTACTTTTTACGATCCGTCCACTTGCAGGATAAAATCGAAACAAGTTTTTGGCACCGTTGTCGAGAACTATTATTTTTAGTCTTAATTTATTTATTTTATTTTTAATTATTATTGGATCTGCTTATTTTCTTTTATTTATAGAAAACTATGTTCATTGTATGCTCCGTGTCCAAGACGATGATTTTGAACTGTTTGATTCGAAAATAGAACGTACCTTTAGACGAAGACGCAGGGAACACAAACAAAAACAGCAGCATCAAATGGCTGACAATTTAAATAACCCTATCCCTATACAGCCAATTGGACAAATGGCCGCGAGAAATCAACAGCAAGAGCAAAGAGAAGTAAATGAAGGGGACTTGCCAGTGTCTATGTTTTTGACGCCTATAGCAGCACCCGCGCGGTCCAGCATAGTATATCCAGAATTTGGGGTAAACAACTTTCAGATACGGGCTGATTGGATTAATTTGATGAGCAACACTCTGCAATTCTACGGGTTACCTCATGAGAATCCAAACACGCATATCTCAAGGTTTCTCCGGAATTGTCAGAATTGTCATGCTCCCGGGGTTAATGAGGATGCCATCAAGCTGCGATTATTCCCATATACACTAAGAGATGCAGCATTGGAATGGCTGGATGCCGAACCGGATAGAAGCATTACCACATGGGAGGAACTGACCAGGAAATTCTGCAATAAGTTCTTTCCACCAGCTAAGGTAGCAAAAATCAGACTGGAAATTCAAACTTTTCAACAGAGAGATGGGGAGAGCTATCATGAAGCATGGAACAGATTTAAGGAGTTGATGAGGAAGTGTCCAAATCATGGGATCACTATTGGAAATCAAGTGCAGTATTTCTACACGGGACTTTCATCATTATCCAAATCTCAAGTGGATTCCTCTGCAGGCGGATCGATCATAGGGAAATCAGTGCAACAATGTATGGATCTCTTTGAGTTGATTGCTACTACTCATTCCATGTTTTCATCAGAAAGAGTGGTGCCTCCAAAAATAGCGGGGATATACGAAGTAGACAGCTCAGCGTCGACCAACGCCCAAATAGCAGCATTGACAAAACAAGTGGAGTTATTGGTGAAGTCACAAACAAAAGGAGCACACGCAGTGATTGCCGGTCCATCATGTGAGAACTGCGGAGCTAATCATCTAATAGAAAATTGCACATCATTAGGCTTTCCAAAGGAACAAATCAACTTCATTCAAAATGGCTCTCGAAATTTTAATCCCTTTTCACAGACATTTAACCCAGGATGGAGACAACACCCAAACTTCAGATGGTCGGATAATCAGCAAGGGAGCAGTTCGAACAATAACCAGCCAGAGAAAAGACCAAATTTGGGGGAGATGTTCAACCAGTACATGCAGAAGATAGATAAGGTATTCCAACAGATTGACACTAACTTTCAGAATCAGCAAGCATCTATTAAGAAGCTGGAAACTCAAATTGGTCAGATAGCTCAACAGCTTGCAGAACGCCCACAAGGGACTTTGCCAGGCAACACAATGGTCAATCCAAAAGAGCAAGTGCAAGCTATTACAACTAGAAGTGGAGTGCAACTTCCAGAGATACATGTGAAGAGACCAGATAGAAAAGACAGAGAAATAATGGATGAAGAGGCTGGGACAAAAGCAGAGTCTGAACAACCAACTAACGAGGAGGATAAAAGGAAAGAAACATCCACGGTGAGAGCACCCACCCCCGTGAAAGCTTATGTGCCACCAATTCCCTTCCCTCAAAGGTTACAAAGAAAGAAGTTGGACAAACAGTTTGCAAAGTTTGTGGAGATTTTCAAGAAACTGCACATCAATATTCCGTTCGCAGACGCAATAGCCCAAATGCCCAGTTGTGCAAAATTCTTAAAGGAGATTCTGTCTAACAAAAGGAAGCTGGAAGAACATGAGACTGTCTGTCTAAACGAGGAGTGCAGTGCAATTCTATTGAAAAAGCTACCTCCTAAAGCCTGCAAGGGTATTTTAAAACCTGGTGCCCTAAAGTCGTCTGACTTGGGAGTCATCGGCCTAAAGCTTGTTACATGGGTCATTTAGAAAGCAATCAGAGATGAAGTCGCACTTAAAAAAAAAAAATTGTTCTCTTCGAAGCCTTTTTGACTCGGGTCAGTAAGTCTGTAAGGGTGTTTAAAACCTGGTGCCCTAAAATCATCTGATTTGGGAGTCATCGGCCTAAAGCCTGCTACATGGGTCATCTAGAAAGCTTAATGGAGAGAAAATAAAAAAATTAATTATGAAAAAGAAAAAAAAAAAAGAAAAAAGCAAGTGCATCAAAAGAGCAAAAGCACTAAATACCTTGGTTAAGTCCCAACACCTATTTGAGGGAATTTGACTTTCGATAAAAGATAATTAGCCTAATTGAGTCTTGGAGGTCGAAGCAATCAAATAATTGGAGAATCCATGTTCATTGAAGTATTGACTTGTAACTTGTAACGTCTACCCAAACTCGAGAGGGTGAGGATAGTAATGAAATATTCAACCTTAAGTTACACACCGGGAAAAGAGTGAAAAAAAAAAAATAATAATAAGTTTGGGGGCGTGTGAATCAAACGAGAAATGTAAGGATATATTTGACCATAGAGGGTTGGGAATAGAAACAACTTGTGTAGTCATGGTTGATTACTTAATTCTTCACACACACACGTCGATTTTGCATTGAAAGAGTGGATATTGATTTAGTATTGTGACTTTGAAGCGATTTGTAAATTTAATTCGATAATCTCAAATCTTGTGATAAGATGCTAGACTGTCCAACCAAATATTTTTTGCATGCTTGTGTGTTTGTTGTTATTTAGGTTATAGTTTTGTTTTGGGACAAACAAATATTTAAGTTTGGGGGTATTTGATAAGTGTATTTTATACACTTATTCGGGTGCTTAAAATGACAATATTTGGTGGTTCTTTTAACAAATTATATCCTAATTTTTTTATTTTATGCTTAATAGATATATTTCACGATCAAAAAGGGAGTTGAAGAGAAGAAGCAAAAATGGGCGAAAAGTGGCAACATTCAAGTACAAGGACTAAATTGGCTATTTGATGCAAAGATTGGAAATCAAAATTCATTATCTAGAAAATTAAGGACTTGGAAGCAAACACTATAAATGGGCCTCAACTAGACTTCCACGTGGGCTGAAATTGAATGGCAATTGAAATACATATCATAGATGGGACTTAAACAATTCAAGTGGGCTGCTAGGTTTTATTTTATATATATATACACCATTTACACGCCGAGGAGGAGGGAGCCGAACTGGGGGAAAATTGGGACTCCAATTTGAGTCAATTATTGAGGCTCAATAGCACAGAAATCGAGAGAGACATACGGAAAAAGAGGGGGGCCGACTGGAGAATATTCAATTATTGCGGCTGCTTGGAGGAAGGAATTCATACAAACACATTGGGCTGTTAAATTATATACATGCATTGGAGGCAAAATCGAGGAGAGAAGAAGATTGTTGGAGGCATAATAAACCAATTGGGCTGAATTAAATATATTTATACATAGAAAACAGCAACTGCTGGGAGAAAAAATTGAGTTGTTGGCTGCTGCCTTCATTAGCTCTATATACCCGCACGGAATTTGAGGCGATTTTGGAGGAAAGAGATACACGTTGCTGGCAGCCAATAGTATTAAATCACACGCACAGCTGAATAAAAAGGAACACAATTTGGCTGCTGCTGGATTAAACAATAGACAGCATACACACGGCAGATTTGGACAGAAAAGAAGGAGAAGACGGCTAGAGCAAAAATTGGGAAATTCATTCACGTTTCGTCAATTAATCCCGGTGATGTCTTCCATTATTTTATCTTGCGTTTCTTCCATTATTATGAGTAGCTAGATTTGATTTAGGGCGAACAACGTAATCTTTTGGAACCGTTTATTTTATGCAATTAAGATTCTAGTGCTTTAATTTTATATGTGTTGATTTTAATGTTGTGCTTAATGCATTCAACTACTTGATCATTAATTAGATGATTTGTGAACAATGATTACGTAGAGATACGGATTATTTGTTTAGACCACATGTTAAAATCCGGTAAATCGATATAACGTGTAGAGATACCTATATTGATTGCTGCGGTCATGTATAAATTCTTAGAACCAATGTTGCGTTTAATTAAATTTAACTTGCATAGAGATATGAAATTGAACTAATTAAATAGGCTCAACGAGAACTCGAGAGGGGTAAGTTGAATACCATAGAAGAATTCGACCGAACTTTACTTTAGGTTGTATGAATCTTGATTTACGAAATAAAGGTGACCATTAGGTGAAATTGTTCCGTCCTAACGCACAGTTATTATTTGAAGTCTCAATCAATTTTTGTTGCATCCAATCACTTTTGATACATTTACATTCTTTAGTAGCTAGATTAAAAATCATGTTTAATCATTTTTCTCGTTTATTTTTGTCAAATAAAAGTTAGGAATAATAAATTGAGTATTAAAGTATAGTCCTCGTGGGAACGATAATCCGAACTCAAAAGGTCCACTTACTACTTGTTACGATCCGTACACTTGCGGGATAAAATCGACAACATTCGCTCAAAGTGACACCTCCTAATTGGTATCAGAGCCATAGAGATCATGAAAATTAAAATAAAGAAAATAAATAATTATTGACATTTAGAAGAAGAAAGAGGAAGTTATATATTTTTAAAACCTATTCATAAAAAATTAAAAATAATAACATTAACAATAATTAAAGAACTACCCAAAGAACTAAAAGAACAAATATTAGAAAAATTAATAATATGATCAATAAAGGATAAATATATATATGGAAAAATTATTAAAGTATATGAAGATGAAGAAATTAATTTATATTATAAGGAGAAGTATGGATGCAAGTAATAATACAAGAATTTTCCAATAGGAGTGTGCCATATGTGCATTATGGACACCATTATGGTGTCCATAATGTACACCAAGAATTTTCCTTTTAACTTTTGTCGAGTATATCACAAGTGCACTTAAAGCGATCGTGTCTAGAATTATTGTCGATGTGAAGCACAGAATAAATATTAGGATGATTATACATCTAGAAATAATGCAATTGAACACAAATGCATCAAAACGTTGACAAATGGAGCTTCTAAACCTATCCTCGAAAATATTTGTTGACCGCTAATAGATGATCAACAAATTCTCCTCACCTAATCAAGTTTTCCCTGCTAGACTCACTATTTTTCCATTCAATAGGAAGCAAGGAGATAAATAACTATTGTTGGAAAATAAGGGGTTGGAGAATAAACAACAACAAAATTATGGAAACAAAATGAATAGAAATCACGAAATACGTCAAGAATGAATTTGAGGCTTGAACACGGGATCATTGTCCTCAAACTATATTTGCCCCCTCTTCAGATGCTTAATGGTGTTATAGCAAATGGTTTGAAGGATTTTAACAAGCCTTGATGTGAAAATAACAAAGCACGAGAAATTTTCCATCAAAATTTGATGAACACAATAAAGAAGAAATGAATATGAGTTATAGCATGAATTTGATTAATTGTGGAACAATGTATGTATTTCTTGTTTGTAATATGTTTGAATTGATCATTCATTACCTATTTATAGGCCTCAATCAATACATCACGAAATGGTGTCATAACAAAATGAAAAGTGGCAACTTTTAATACAAAATGGCTCCCAAGTTTCAAATTGAAAAATCAGCCAACGGCTATTTTTTAACACTATGCATACGTATAGTATAAACCGTGCCTATGCGTAGTAGAAGCAAAATCAATTCTGATTTTGCCAAAGCACATCTCACGTACGCACAAAAATAAGCCTGTGCGTACGCATAGGCAAAAATCAAAATTTTCATTTTTCAATTTCTTTTGATTCTATTAATTCCACAATTGAGTCCAACAATTAGTCCATTATCATTCCATTGATTTTGAACAAATATTCAACAATCCTCCACTTGTTCAAAATCAATAAGATCACATATTCAAAAAGACGACACTTATGCATAAGCATTAGATATCTTTCGATTTGAATTTAACCATAGTGTAATTCAAACAAAGTAAAGTCAGAATTAGAGGTAGCATGGAAGCTTTGAATCAATTATTCCTTGTGACAATACCGGTAATAACACACACATAAGTATCACGTGTTCTCAAGTTTCTCAACTCGCTTAGCGCTTTTATGGCCTTGCGCTCATCCTATTCGACAAACTTTTAAGAGAGAAACTTCAACTCTCTATTGAGGCGGCACCACCTCGAAGTTAGTCTAGGTGAAGTTCTTCCGATACCTTTGTTACTTTTAGAGGTACTTGTGCTTTATCACTGAACTTCATTAAGAGCTTTAAGCTCAACCCTCACTTCAGTAACAACCAGCATTATTTAATTAGGATAGGGTCATTGCATATTTGAATAATGCTGCAACCATCCACATATCGAATGACTTGTTGTTACCTTTTGAACCCGTGGATTACTTTTTGAGTAATGACAGGTAGGGTTGCCGTCATTGGTGGATCTTTTTAGTTAAGAAGTTTCAACCCCATCCTACTCAAAGTAGACGTACTAAATCTCTATTTAGTGCTTTAGTTAAAGGATCCGCTAAATTCTCAATTGACCTTACATAATTTAGGGAAATTATTTCATCTTTGATTAATTTCCTTATGTAGTCATGTCTTAGACTCATATGTCTAGACTTTCCATTGTATACCTCGTTATATGCCTTTGCTAACCTGGCTTGACTATCACACATGATAGGTATTGAAGAGATATTCTTCGATCCCAAAGGTATCTCATATAAGAGATCCTGGTATAATCCAGGAGTCGAGCCCGACGAAGGCAAGTGCGAGACGAAACTCATTGATAGTCGATGGTGGACCAATGACGCGATCAAGGGCAAAGTAAGTGAAACAAGAGATGGGATTGCTCGTTCAAGAAACCATTGATGGAACCATGTTTGGGACTCAAAATGGAGCAACTTTCATGTTCGGGTCGAAAGCCGAATTGACTTGGATCAATTTGTTATCAAGCGACGAAAGCGGAGGTAGAAAACAACACCATGCGGTTGCACAGGCAAAACTCCATGCGGCTGCACACATGAATACCGAAAATAAAATAAAAATTTCTTGATGAACCATGTGACCGCATGGATTTACACCATGTGGCCACACAAGCCAAAAAAATTGGCGAATTTTCTATTTTTGGCTGAATTTCCTAGTTTCGATAGAATTCTTATGAAATCAAATTATTACCATAATTTGATGTTTTCGACATTTTTATTCCTTAGTATAAACAGGAGATTACTTTTCATTGTAACAACTTTGAACTTTTGACTTTTGAATTAATATTATAGAGAAAGAAATTTATTCTTTCAATTTATTGTTTTTCTTGAACAATCTTGGAACTTATCAAGAATCAACTTCTTGTGGTGTTCTAATCAATCGGATTGTGGGTTCTTTCAATTGTAATCAAGGGGTTTTAGGGTCTTCGCTAATCTAGGGTTTCTTGGTTCAATTCTTGGGGTTCAAGATCCAAAACCGGGTTAGTATTGGCGTTATTGGATTCCGCATCAATCTCGTTGTGGGTTTCGTACTTTCCATTGCTACGGGATTCGGATTAGTTGGATCAGAGCTTTGGCTCCAATTTAATCAGGTTATATCCTTTGTTTTCTAATTTTTTTTTTCAATTCCTTATGTTCTTGTATCCAGAAAATTTTCTTGATTCTTTGATCCAAAAGTTTCATCAAAAATCTTCAAATTCCGTTTCTGGGCTCAATTTTCACCCAAATCAGTTTTCGTTTTCTTTGTTGGTTTTGTTATTGATTTTCGGATCTAAAAAAAAAAAAAATATATATATATATATATATATATATATACTGTTCATCCGTACAGTAAAAAAAACTTGTTAAATATTATTGATCTATTAAATACCAACTTTTATTATTCATTATCGTTTCTAAATTACTTGGACACATTGAATCATTCCATTCCTTCAATTCAAATCAAATTTTAAAAGTTTCCTTTGACTCCTTTGTTACAATTATTGAGTCACATCAGGTTTGGGGAATTCTACACGAAGTGATTGATTGATTGAGTTCATTGATTGTTCCTAGAAGCAATTGTTGAAAGAATTGAGTGGTAAAAGGCAGAGAGGTAAGCTTAATAGAGGGTAAAAGCCCTTGTGTGTGTTCCGAGTGACTTTTGGTGAGGCAGTAAAATAAAATTTTTAGTGTTAGGATGTCAGAAAGGGCAGAATCAAATTCAAACCGACAAAGAAATAATAATAATGCATCGGAGGATTTAGTACAGAGGTTTGAGAGGGCGTTTGGAGATGTGAGAGAAAGGTTGGAGAAATAGGAGGCTTGGATGAATAGATTAGATACATCGGTGGCTAATCTTAGTCGGGGGCATCGAGTGGATGTATCCAATGCCAGAGGACCGGATAGATGGGAGCCTAGGAGGGAAAGGCGAGAGGAGTATGGATATGAGAGTGACATGGGCGAAGATGAATTTCACGGTGTTGAGATGGGAAGGATGAGAAATAGAGGCGATAGGTTCGATAGACGGGGTTGGAATGATCGCGGGGAGGAGTTGGATAGAAACTTGGGAAATATAAAAATGACAGTTGCTTCATTCAAAGAAAGGAGTGATCACGAGGCATACCTGGAGTGGGAAAGGAAGGTTGAAATGATCTTCGAGTGTTATAACTACTCGGAGGAGAAAAAGGTAAAGTTAGCAGTTTTGGAGTACAGTGACTATGGAATTTCATGGTGGGATCAAGTGATTACTTCACAACGTAGGAGTGGGGGAAGACCAATCAGCACTTGGGAGGAATTGAAGTCATTGATGAGAAAGAGGTTTGTTCCTAGCCACTATTACCGAGAGATCCATCAAAAACTGCAAGGTCTATATCAAAGGTCGAAAAGTGTAGAGGACTATCATAAGGAGATGGAAATACTCATGATTAGGGCCAATGTGGTGGAGGATCGGGAGGCTACCATGGCACGATTCTTGAATGGGTTGAATAGGGAATTCGCCAATGTATTGGAGTTGCAACATTATGTGGAGTTGGAAGACATGTTGCATGTGGCTATAAAGGTAGAGAGACAGCTGAAGAGGAAAGGGGCAGCTAGGCAGCGGTTAGGAACCTCGAGTGTTAATCCATCTTGGAAGCAAGGGTGGAACAACAACAACAACAACAAAGGTGATAAAGCTGTACCTAAAGGTAGGAATGAGTGGCAGAAAGGGAAAGAAGAAAGTGCTAGCAAAACAGCACCCAAAACAGATTCACAACCGTCAAGGAATCGAGACATCAAGTGCTTCAGATGCTTGGGGTCAGGACACATTGCTTCTCAATGCCCAAATAAACGGGTAATGGTTTTGTTGGATAATGGAGAGGTGGTGAGTGAAGGTGAAGGAGAGTTTGAGGACATGCCTACATTGGAGGACGTTGAAGAAGAAGAAAAATTGGAGTTTGCAGTTGGGGAATCGTTGGTGTCAAGGAGAGCTCTTAACACTCAAGTCAAAGTGGATGATTCGGAGCAGCAGAGAGAAAATATATTCCACACACGTCGTTACATCAACGATAAGATATGTAGTATGATTATTGATGGTGGGAGTTGCACGAATGTAGCTAGCACAACTTTAGTTGAGAAATTAGGACTAGCATTGTTAAGACACCCTAGGCCTTATAAGTTGCAATGGTTGAATGAAAGTGGGGAAGTTAGGGTGAATAAAAGAGTTTTAATTGATTTCTCAATTGGGAGTTAGAGTGACAAAGTAGTATGTGATGTGGTGCCTATGCATGTAGGTCATATCTTGTTAGGAAGACCATGGCAATATGATAGAAGGGTCACACATGATGGTTATAGGAATCGTTATAGCTTTGTCAAGGATGGAAAGACTATTACTCTTGCGCCATTAACACTGGCACAAGTGTATGAAGATCAAATCAAGCTGAAAAGTGAGGAAGACGAGAGAATAAGAGAGTCAGGAAAAAAGAGAAGCAATAGTAAAACCATCAATAAGAGAGAAAATAGTGAGGTGGCTGAGAGTGGAGAAAAGAGAGAAGCCACATGAGCGGAGAGAAAATGAGTCAGTTGAGAGGAGAGAAAAAGAGTCAGCTGAGCGGAGAGAAAAGCCAAAGGTCAACTTCTATGCAAAAGAGAGTGAGTTGAAAAAGGCTATAAGCGATAATAGGCAAATGATATTGTTAGTGTACAAGGAGTCCCTCCTCAATTTTGAGGATTCTAACACATCCCTCCCTAGTTTGGTTAAGTCTTTATTGCAGGAGTTCGACAATGTGTTTCCTGAGGAGATGCCAAGTGGATTGCCACCAATCAGAGGCATCGAGCACCAGGTTGACTTTGTACCCGGAGCTGTCATACTGAATCGACCAGCTTACCGAAGCAATCCCGAGGAGACGAAGGAGCTTCAAAAGTAAGTGGAGGAGTTGATGAGCAAAGGTTATATCAGGGAGAGCATGAGTCCATGTGCTGTACCTGTTTTGCTGGTGCCTAAGAAGGACGGGACTTGGAGAATGTGCGTGGATTGCCGAGCTATCAACAATATCACGGTAAAGTATCGTCACCCAATACCTAGGTTAGATGATATGCTTGATGAGTTGCATGGTGCTTACATTTTTAGTAAGATTGATCTTAAGAGTGGGTATCATCAAATTTGCATGCGGGAGGGTGATGAATGGAAAACGGCATTTAAGACTAAGTATGGATTGTATGAATGGTTAGTTATGCCGTTTGGACTCACTAATGCACCGAGCACTTTCATGCGTTTAATAAACCATGTTTTGCGTGCTTTTATTGGGAAATTTGTTGTAGTTTATTTTGATGACATCTTAATCTATAGCAAAAACCTAGATGAGCATTTAGAACATTTAAATGGTGTGCTTATTGTGTTGCGAAAGGAACAACTACATGCTAATTTCAAAAAGTGCACATTTTGAATGGATAGAGTTGTTTTCCTAGGATTTGTGGTTAGTGCTAACGGGGTGGAAGTCGATGAAGAAAAGATAAAAGCTATTAAAGAATGGCCAACACCTAAGACTATAACTGAAATTAGGAGTTTTCATGGATTGGCTAGTTTTTATAGGCGATTTGTAAGAGATTTTAGCACTATCACCACACCGTTGACTGAAATAGTAAAGAAGAGTGTAGGTTTCCATTGGGGAGAATCTCAAGAAATTGCATTTAACACAATTAAGGATAAGCTATGTAAAGCACCTGTTTTGGCATTACCCAATTTTGATAAAACATTCGAGGTTGAGTGTGATGCATCAGGAATAGGTATAGGAGCAGTGTTAATGCATGAAAGGAGACCTGTTGCTTACTTTAGCGAAAAGTTGAGTGGGACAGCATTGAATTATCCGACATATGACAAGGAGCTGTATTCACTTGTTCGAGCATTGGAGACTTGGCAGCACTACTTATGGCCAAAGGAATTCGTGATACATACCGATCATGAATCTTTAAAGCATTTGCGAGGTCAAGGTAAGTTGAACAAAAGACATGC